CCCCCAAAACCCCAAAACCCCAAAACCCCAAATTATAAATAATAAATTGATAGATTTCTGAATCTAAGATGGACAAAGTTATTAAATACGCCAAAGATCTCAAGAAACTTGAGAAAGCCAAGGATTACAATAGTTCCTTTGGTAAGTAACCTTATTAAGATTCACAGGGGTTTTAGTACTATATTTAGCCCATATTTTGAGGAGGAATCTAATGAAAACTTTCGGGAAGATATTCCTGACAGAATCCTATTGCATGCTGATTTGCTTACTTTTCTTATAGAAAAATTCAATGAGTTTATCAAGAGAGACGCTGGAAAAGCATTCAATTTTATTGTGGGTATTGATATTGCCTCATACACTGTGCCAATCACCTACATCCTGAATAGTATCTATAGAGTAAGATCATGACTTTTCAAAGATTTAATTTAATTTAGAACAGAGGAGTCAGTGAGCATATTAACTTAAAGGAGCTTATTGTCTTTACAAGGAACTTCCTCTATGAGTTCAGTAGAGAAGAACTTTGTAGGAGCTCACTATACATGCTGGAGTTTTATCAATTAGCAGAAATATTTGCTTTTACAGTGGGACCACCTGAGTCAGACAGACCTCATTGGCCCTCTCATGTTTCAAGTGCTTTCCATGTTGATAGACCTTTACTTGGAGTCAAGCCATTGAGGAGAGCAATTCAGAAACTCCAGGAGAAGGATACGCAGTATACTCCTTTGCATCCATATTTTGCAATGCTATGTATTCACGCAAAAACTTACAGACAGGCTTTGCCAATTATTGAGAAGAAACTTCTCAGTGGATTTGTCAATGGGTACCAAGATTTAGAGAGCATCATGAACTACAACTATTACAGAGGAATTTTATTCACAGGATTGGAGAACTACACTGAAGCAAGACATTGCTTCCAACTTGTACTAGATACTCCTTACCAGGTGTTGCATATCAGCCAGGTTCAAGCTTTCAAAAAGATCTGCCTATTAGTATGGCTCACTTCGACACATAACATTCAAGACGATGACCATAAAGCAGTGAGACTCGAAATTAGAAATATTCTTCAATCTAAAGGAATGCTTGGGAAGCAACTTGAAGAGATTGCAGAAGAGTACTGTAAATCTGAGTCTATCAACAACTTCTTTATCCAGACAAACTACGAAGCCATCCTGAAAGATACTAATATGGGGCTAGTTAAGCAAGTTATTAAGAAAATCAGGAACGAGATCCTTGAGTCAATGACTCAGACGAACACCATGCTAACTCTCGAAGAGATTAACGATAGGCTTCAAGTTCACAGAGAAGTCTGTGATGCACTTGAAGAAAAGCATAAATAGCGAGACTCTAAAGCAATTGAAAGATGCCATCATGGAAGATTGTAAGCTTGAATTGACTTATGATGACGAAGACCTAAATTCTATCTTGATAAAGATGATTAAGAGTGGCAAGATCAATGCCAAGATTGATATGAAGAAGCAAATTGTTGTTTTCGACGATAAGCACACCTCAATAGAAGCCCTTGTAAAGAAGTTAGAATCCCAAAACGACGATATCATTCAGGTACTCAACGAAGTGGAAAATACAGACAAAGAACTCTTGCTCCAGAAAAAGGCAGGAATTCACGATGCTGATGGTCAAGACATGCCTGAATTCATGGATGGAATGATGTTCATGGATGATGTTTAAAGGAAGATAAATCATAATTTTGCCAAGAGGATTCTCCAAAAGACCTTAATTGTTATATTATATAAAAGTGGGGTTTTGGGGTTTTGGGGTTTTGGGGTTTTGGGG